GATTTAAATTTAATTTTTCAAAATAAAATATAAAAATTATTATTTGTATATTGATAAAATACATAATTTGTTGCTGTAAATTATATATTGAATTAACTACTTAATTCAAATATTTAATTATATATATAACTTAACTATATAGTATTTAATAAAAATACACTATTGCTTTTCAAATTAAAACGTTAATGTAACAAATAATAAATTGTTTACTTAGAAATTTAAAAATATACCAATAATAATATTGTTTATGTTTTTATTAGGTTAGCACAAAAAAAATTGTTTCAACGTATGAAGTTAAGTCTTCGCTCAAGCATGCCGTTTGCAATTTAGAAAGATTCAAAGAAAATCCTCTCTGGTTTTTACTGGAAGAAGCGCTCGATATATGGGATTGTAAATTTGCATGAAGTGATAAAATATGAAGATTGAGTTTTTATTGCTACATCCATGAAAAAGTGCATTTTGAAATAATGTTTAAATGTATCAGATGTCTTTGACGAGGCGGATGAGTTGCTTAACACAGTTAAATGGACGGAGAGCAACTTTTTCACGGCTGAAAACAACAAAAAGTTACATAAAAACATGCTAGACAATAACATAAAAGCCCTTATTGACGACGATATGCTTTGCAACAACTTGAATATAAACGAGTAGATGTTGGAAATATTTTATCAGAGTGGATAATATTGAAGAAAATAATGGCAACTTGGACAATTGCAAGTTCAAAATCATTTCCACCGCTATCTTGGTCACAAATAGCGACTAATATCAAACCAGATAGATTTGCTAATCTTTTTTCTCTGATTGATTTTTTATTTTGCCATAACTTAAGTTCGGCAGACGCGGAAAAAGGCTTTAGCGCAATGAAAAATATTAAACCAATTGAAAGAACACGAGTCAGTAACAAGTTATTAACAATGCGATTGCACATCAAGATTGATGGTTCAGAAATGGAATTATACGATCCAACAAAAGCCATTAAACACTGGCTTTTAAAGTCATCACGAAAAAATAAAACTAGCATCAATCAAAAAAGCTTTACATGGACAACAAAACTCCAGTTGTGTCAGTTAAAAAGTCAAAGAAAATACAGATTTTCGCTAGTAGCGATGATGATAGTGATAGAGCTGTAACAATTGATGACAATATATAATTTGAATCTTGAATGTTTTTTATCTTTCAAAATATAAATAATTTTTCTTGTAACAAATAAGATTGTAATAATTACAACACATTAAAAGCAAAGGGTTTTAAAGTATTTGTACATTGTTTTTTATATTTGTCAACAGTTTTTTGTTGTAATCAAACATCTATTTTTTTATAAAATGAGCGCTCAAATAAAGTTTAAAAATATAATGGCATGTATTTTTTTTTGATAGTAGAAAAGTGAATTTTTTCAATAGTTTTCAATATTACTTTTATTTGCACATACTGTTTCTAGTGTACATTTAGCCATATAACAAAAAATGACTAAAACATGAGAGGAAATTTTTTTAAAAAATGGCAACGGGCGACTCAAAACGTCGGCGGGCGACCAAAATTAACAAAGTGGTTAGTTTCAGTCGCCCTTCTGGCGACTGACCAAAAGTCCGAGTGTACACCCCTGTGATTATTAACTATGCTTTGAGTCAAGTTCTTTAACAAATTTAAAAATAACTAAAGTACCAAAAATTTATATAACACAAAGTTCTCACCAAGTTCTCTAAACATATCATTTACTAATATTCATGTCTTCAAAGTATTTTTTCTTCTGTTGAGTCTTATCTCTTGCAAAGTTTACCAGACCCACTTGCTCTTTGTGAGACTAATTTTAGTTTGGTTGTCTCATCTTGTGATGTTAGAGTTGATGGTTATCTTCCTTTAATTCGTAAAGACTCCAATAGTCATATGCTTGGCCTGGGCATTTACATTCATAAGAACTCACCCATTTTTCTGTAAACTAGGTTTGAATCCATAGACTACTCTTCTATGTCACTTCACTCTATAGCTTTACTCTTTGTTGTATATCGCTTTCCTTCATCTCAAAACTGCACTGATTTTGATATTGTTTTTGCCTATGCCTGCTAGAATAATCCAGTGACTCAATAGAAAAATTCTTGCTCACAGAAAGAACTATGGAACTATGAAAAAACATTAAAAAAAAATTGACCAACCTGAAAAACTAAAGAAGACAATTTAAACTATTTGTAACCATGTAAAGAAAGGTGAGAAACTCTTATATCTGTAAATTGTCTGTATATTCTTCAATTATTACTTCTGCTAGATCCTTCATGGTCATCAAACTTGAAAAATATTTTTAAATCATCACCCTTTGAGTTCATTCTAAAGCTATGCGTCAATTTAACAAAAATGATACATATCTCAGTCCAAATATTTTCTTTAATAACTTTATGTGAGATACTGAAAAAAATGCTTTAGTGAAATACAAGAAAAAAACATTAGTTGAAAAATCTTACCCATATGCTTACACGATCTAATGTTTCCAACTAATTTTTAAATTATTTTTAATGAGATACTCCATTGTGTTAGCTAGGAATATTTTTGTTACTGCGTTTTTGCGATATTAGGAGTATTTATTATTATAGCTATTATGGATTTCAATATTCTCATTCTACGGCTGATTTGCTAACAGTAATAACCGATAGTTTTTATTGCGCATTAGATAAAGGTGGAGAGGCTAAGGCCATTGCTCTTGACATTTCTAAAGTGTTTGATAAAGTTTGGCATGCTGGTCTTCTCCATAACCTTTCTTCTTACGGTGTATCTGGAAACATCTTCAAGATTATTGAATCCTTCCTTTCCAATCGTAGTATAAAAATAATACAATGAGCACTGCTCTAAAGAGCTAGGGTCTCTTGTGCCATCTACTAAAATTCATTCTCGTGTTACTCGTCATTCAATTAAGTCTCATCCTTTTTCGTCTAGTTTTTTCTCTCAAATATCAGTTCTTTGGGATTCGCTTCCTTCATGTTGCTTACCTGATTCATATAATTTGCAATCTTTTAAGTCGTCTGTCAATTGTTATTTTGATCTTGCTCTACAATCTTCATCTTTTCTCTTCCAGTAACTTCCAATACTAATTAGTGGTTGCTTGCAGCCTTGTTGGAAGCGATGAAAAAAAAAAAAGTTCTTTAGAATATTGGGTAATTTTATTTAAATTGTCCTAGTATTTCAAAAATTTTCTTTGATGGACAGCACTCCTCTTCTTATTCTGTAACCTCAGGGGTTCCTCAAGGTTCAATCCTTGACCCTCTACTTTTTTTAATTTACATTAACGATCTTCCAGATATTCTCACATCTAAGGTGGCATTGTTGGCTGATGATACTACCGTTTATTTTTTGGGGCTCACAGTGGCTGGTGAACTTTAATACAGATAAAACTCAATTTTTTTTAGCCAATCTTTATCACAATAATTTAGACCTTCCTATATTTATTAACGGTAATGTACTCGATGAGTCATCTACCCTTCATCTTCTAGGATTAACTCTTACCTCTGATCTTTCTTGGAAACCTTATATCAAATCCGTTGCAAAATTAGCATCTGCTAAAGTTGCTTCTCTTTGACGAGCTCAACACTTTCTAACTCTGGATTCTATTCTCTATCTCTATAAATCTCAAATCTGTCCTTGTATGGAATAATGTTGCCATATCTGGGGCGGATCTTCTAATGATGCCCTTTCTTATTTAGACAAGGTACAAAAACGCATTGTAAACATAGTTGGACCTGCTCTTGCAGCCAACCTTCAACCTTTGTCACATCGTCGTAATGATGCTTCTCTTTCTCTTTTCTACAAATAATACAATGAGCACTGCTCTAAAGAGCTAGGGTCTCTTGTGCCATCTACTAAAATTCATTCTTGTGTTACTCGTCATTCAATTAAGTCTCATCCTTTTTCTGTTACTGTTCCTAAGTGCTCAAAAAATTCTTATTCGTCTAGTTTTTTCTCTCAAATATCAGTTCTTTGGGATTCGCTTCCTTCATTTTGCTTACCTGATTCATATAATTTGCAATCTTTTAAGTCGTCTGTCAATTGTTATTTTGATCTTGCTCTACAATCTTCATCTTTTCTCTTCCAGTAACTTCCAATACTAATTAGTGGTTGCTTGCAGCCTTGTTGGAAGCGATGAAAAAAAAAAAAGTTCTTTAGAATATTGGGTAATTTTATTTAAATTGTCCTAGTATTTCAAAAAAAAAAAAAAAAAAGATCATCGAATTTTAAATTACACACAACACCATCGGGCTGGCTAACACTCTGAACTCCATCATACAATCTCTAATAATTATATCTTTAAAATTTCAACTATTAATGTAAATGAAACTGATCTATATGATCTTGTTGGATCTAATTTATTGCTCTTTATAAATAATGGAACAATGTTTGCACATGGCCATAACTTTGGGTTAGTGCCTTAAATCAAAAATTTATCTTGGACATAACCAAGATCTCAAACATTCCTTCAAAACCATTTGATGAAATTATCAGGACCAATTGATGTGCATGTTCAAATTACTCAAATATTTCTGAACAATAGAAATTTTAAAACTTGGATTTGGACATTTTGTTAAAAACTTTTAATCTAAAATTTCTTTTGATGAATTATCTTGCATGAAAAGCCATTTTTCACAACATTTATCATTTTTATCATCATTTGTAACATCAAATTTTTGTACTCAGTTTGTTTTTTAAATAGAAATCTATTTATAGCATCTCTTTTTATATAAAATTTTTTTTTATTTTTTATTTGTTATGTTATTAATAAATTAGAGCTATTTTCACAATCAAATTGATATTTCAAAATATTAAATACCACCTAACAGTGAAAAATGCTGCAGAATTTAAACTTGGTAGCTCTTATCAGTTGAAATGAGATATAAAATGTATAAATAACAAACTTAACTTGGAAACATTACAAAATTATTTTAAATTTTTTTCTAAACTTATTATTGCAAAAATAACAGAAACTCATAAAAAAGAAAAACAAATACTTTATTTTTAATTACCTTTTAAAAAAACTGCCATTAAAAAAGCGCCAATTTGAGCATCATGAAATTTTTTACCAATTATAGAATCTATGATCCATTGAATTTGGTCTCTTGTCAAAGCCTTTGAATTTTGTTTCAGGGCGATTACATCAGAAAATGAAAAACTGGATGACATCTTGCTTTATGTTGGATAACTTCTAAACAATAAAACGTCTTTTAAACTTACTATGCTAAATGTAATAATTCAATTTAAATTAAGGTTGACTTGATTCCACAACTAACTTATGAGAACTGCGCCTTATGTGCACAATATAAATAAAATCTAAATATTAATCTAAATATTAATCTACCGTTCCTACCTCGTCATTAATTTATTCTAATTATACGTAAATATGCGTTACCGCCATTATGGAGAACAAACAAACGTAAACAAATAGTTCGGCTACAATGATATATATTAACTAGATGTCTAACTTCCGAAAAAAAGTGAAGCACATTTTTTTTGCCAACCAGCATATGATTGGCTAATAAATTGTTTTGCCAACCAGCATCTGATTGGTTAACAAATATTACGGAAGGAAAAAGAGCAAAAACAAAATCCAAACAAAAAATATTTGTGTCAGTTAAATCAGAAAATGGGTTTAAAAGTTAGTCAGGTTGGAATGATATTGTGAGATCTTTAGTATTGGATAATTTTATAAGTGTAGGTTAAAAGTAACGTCAGTTACTTTTAACTTTCTATTATAAAAAATAACTGCTAAGCTAGTAATTTTAGTTTAAAGTAAAAAGACTTTGAACCTTCGGAAAATATTTTAAGTATATAATTTTTAAAAGTTAACATCTTAGATAAGTTTTTATATAGTTAATTAAGTTAAAATATCTGTTATAGTATGTAAACTTATCCTATATATTTCTTTATAATAAAATACAATATTTCTAAGGGTTATATATACCCTCGTTATTCAAGTATGTATAATATGTATATATAATATATATATATATATATATATATATATATATATATATATATATATATATATATATATATATATATATATATATATATATATATATATATATATGTATATATATATATATATATATACATATATATATATATATATATATATATATATATATATATATATATATATATATATATATATATATATATATATATGTATATATATATATATATATATATATATATATATATATATATATATATATATATATATATATATATATATATATATATATACATATATACATATATATATATTCAAATGATATTATATATGATAAAGTCTGGGATAATGTGTTTGAGTGTGTGTGTATGTATTTATAAAATATAAAAGATATATTTTTGAAAACAATACTTTTTATTTTTTTAGAGTAACAAATAATAAACATGGTTATTAATTGTTCAGTTTACAACTGTAAAAGCAGATTTGATAAAAGTAGTTTAATTTCTTTTCACAGATTCCCTTTAAATGATGAAATTTTATATAAAAAATGGGCAACAGCAACTAAATGTTTACAAATTACACCTAGTAAACATAGTAGAATCTGCAGTAAACATTTTAAATTAGAAGATTTTGAGTGTCAAGAGAATGGGAAACGTGTGCTGAAAAAAAATATTGTGCCTTCAATATTTGACTTTCATGAATCATTGAACAAAAATAACAAGCGAAATCAGCTATATAATGATGATACATCACACATTAAAAAAACATATTGTTCTATCTCGAATAAAGAGGTAACAGAGCTTGATATTACAAATACTATTAAGGAAAAAATACTTAAACAAAATTCTCCAAAAAAACTATTACTTAGAAAAAAGATTAAAATATTAAAACAAAAGCTTAAACGAAAAGATAAAAAAATTGCTTCCCTTAGCAAAGTTATTCAAAACTTGGAGAAAAAAAAAATTATTTCCATTGATGTTGCTGAATTACTTGAGAACAACTTCTCTGGACTGACTAAAGAACTTTTGAAATCTGAATTAAAAAATAGAGGCAAAAAAAAAAAAGATTATAGATACTCTGAAGAAGTTAAAAAATTTGCTTTAACACTGCACTTTTATTCTCCAAGAGCATATGAATTTGTTAAATCTACATTCTCATTATCTGCCGTAAGCTCACTTTCAAACTGGACCTCATCTGTAGATTGTTTGCCTGGGTTTTTTGGAGATGTTTTCAAGTTTTTACAAAATAAGACATTTGAGGATTCATCATACAAAGATTGCGCATTAATATTTGATTCTATGCATATCAGGGCTGCTCTGCGGTATGATAATGTTACTGGATCATATGAAGGTTTTTCTAGTTTTGGAAACAATATTCTAGCCTATGACCCAGATAAATTAGCAACAGAAGCACTTATTTTTATGGTTGTTGGATTGAAAGGCCATTGGAAATGTCCTATAGGCTATATATTGTGTGATAAAATTTCCTCAACAGATTTAGTTGTCTAATTAAAAATGCTTTACATTTATGCGCTACTCATAATCTGAATGTTTGGAGTATAACATGTGATGGACTTATTTCCAACTTTAGTGCAATGAAGAATCTTGGGTGTTCATTCGGAAGTAAAATTAAAGAGATGTGTGGTAGTTTTCCCCATCCTGAATATGATCATCCTATATATTATATCCCTGATCCTTGTCATATGCTTAAATTAGCTCGAAACGCTCTGTGTAGTATTGGTATCTTTGTTGATGAACAAAATCAATATATAAAGTGGGACCATATTAAAGCATTGCATAAACTGCAAGAAGAAGAAGGATTTAAGTTTGCAAATAAACTTGGCAATTACCACATTGACTTTCGCAGACATAAAATGAATGTTAAAATTGCAGCTCAAACGCTAAGTGGTTCAGTTGCTGATGCTATAGAGTTTTTGATGGTCTCAGGTCATCCAACTTTTATTGATGCCCAAGGCACAATTAATTTTATTAGAACTTTAGATAAATTATTCGACTTGTTAAACTCTAAAAACCTTTTTGAAAAAGAAATCTAAAAAACCTTTGTTTTTGAATGAAGCTCCAAAATGGATAGAAACCATAGAAAAATCTGTAAATTACTTAGTTAACTTATCAGACTTATCTAAAACTTCTTTAATTAAACACAGAAGAAAGACATTTGTACTTGGTTTCATTGTAGCAGCCACAAGTGTTAGAGATTTATCTCTTAACCTTTTATCTAGACATGAGAATCCTTTTGAATTTATTTTAACATATAAACTGTCACAAGATCATGTTGAATTATTATTTGCTTGTATTCGAGGCAAAAATGGTTTCAATAACAATCCAGATGCACGTCAGTTAAAATCTGCTTTAAAAAGAATTTTATTAAGAAACTCTATCATAGGATCAAAATTTAGCAACTGCCTTACTTTTGACCAAAAATCTTCTGGCTCAATCTTTTTATTAAAGTGGAGTAAAAGGAGATCTCCTCTTGTTGAGCAAAATATAATATCTAGTGAGGATTCTAACTATTTTAAAGACCTTGCTGGTTGTCTTTCATCAGTCTCTACTTCAATTTATAAAGAAGCTATACTTGGATATATTGCAGGGTTCATTGTAAGAAAACTTTATAGTAAAATTACATGTCTGACTTGTGCCAATAGTTTAATTTCTCCGAAGACTTTATCCACTGATCATGAGTATTCTATATTTTGCAGTTCATCGTGGAAAAGTTTTACAACTTTAAAAATCGAGGTGGTTTAATCTTTCCATCCTGTAGTGTTTTAAAGATTGTTGAAAAATGTGAGCACGTTTTTAAAGTTTTGGTGTGTGGGGCAGACCCCCATAATTTAAAAATATCTTCTAAAAAAAATCTTAAAACCTATCTGGTGCACTTTATAAATCAAAAACTTGCAAATGACGCACTGTTTACTGAACTAAATATGCATGATTTAGAACATGAGATTTTGACTGAAGACATGCATTCTTCACAGCTTTTAAAAAAAATTATAGAAAAATATTTAACATTGCGTCTACACTCATATGGTCAGCTGTACACTAGAAATGAGTTGCATAAAGGAAAGATTGGATTACGGCAACAGTCCAATAAGCTTGTTTTGTTCAAAGGTTTATTAAAAATTACAATAATAATATTCAATATTATTTGTAAGCTATTTATGCCAAAAAATAAAATTAATTCTTTAAAACAAAAATTTTATTATTTCTGAAAATTCCTTAACTGTAACTGTTAACTGTGTGTTACAGTTTTTTGAACTAATTTAAATTTTTTAATTGAAAACCTACATTAAAAATAAAAATTTATACCTATTTATATCAGCAACACTTTTGATTTATTTTCATAATGAAATATGTGTTCTTTTATAACAATAACTTAAAGGGGTCCAATAGGGTACTTTTAAGTTACAGTTGTAAAAGTCAAAAACATATTTTTTGCCAACATATATTTATATTTGCCAAGTAAAAATGCAATATCTTTGTATTATATAATAACTTCTAACTTTCTTTATCTACAAACGCTGTTTTTAAATAACAGTTTATAAATAGATATTTTTAACATTTAAAAAGTTAACATCGCCAAAATGTTTTTTTCTTTGCTGCGGCTACCGGCTTTATAACCTTCAAAAACTTGCTTCATATTTTTTTACGGAATTTATACGAAGTTAGACATCTAGTTAAATATATATCATTGGTCCAACTATGTTACAACGTTAAATCAACGTTACCGTTTAAACGTTGATTATTTAACGTTATTTCAACGTTAAATCAACTTTACAGTTTAAACGTTGATTATTTAACGTTATTTTAACGTCATTATTTCAATCATTGTTGACAAAAAATACGATATAAAATTTATTCGCGCGCAGAAATGGAAGTAAAATCGTAAACATTATTTCAACGATTAAAGTCATAGAGATTTATAATGGAAAAAAAATGTAAATACTGAACTTATATCATATAGAATTTTCGAGAGATCGAAAACATGTTCAGACGATTTTCCTGAAAGAACATTATCGTTTAAAAATCGATATTTTTCGTTTAACTAGGGCTACAATGCTCAAAGACTGATATTATTAAATGTAAATATAATACAGCTTTTTCAAAAAGTGATCCATTAAATTATGTTGAATAAAATGCTAAGCGTTGTTTTTTTAATAGAGCATCAAGAATTAAAAAAGGAAATTGATAACTTTAAAAAAGAACTTCAGCACGAAATAAAAAAATAAAGATTTATTTGAAAAATTAACTTCAACCACATCAGTTATTACTATGAAAACAGACAAACT